TGTTTATATTAAGCTGATTTCATATTCAAGTTTTTGAAAAGTTTGTTGACTTCTTGAATGGATAATTTGTTATCATTATTTTCATCAGCCATCATCCAATATCTCATCATGATAACACTCATCGGAGGAGTATCTTTCAAGTGAATAGATCTTAACAAATAATTTAAAGAAACGAGGAAGGAAATAAATTCTTCTGTCTTTGAAAATATAATATCTAACTGTTCTTGAGCTGATCCATATTTAATTGTAATGGTACGATCAACATTATATCCATGCTCCTTCTTCTTTGATTTTAAATGTTCTGCATACTTGAAGAAAGCTCCAGAATCGGTAAAGGAATTACCAGTGATAACCTTTTTGATATCTTTCAATAAAACTATTTTAAATAATAAATCCAATTAATTTTCAATTTTTCGTATTCAATACTAACCATTTCCTTTTCTTGATTTTTTCTTCTCTATTCTAAAGAATGTATAATTATCATCCAAAAAGATCATGTGTTTCTTTGGTTTGATCATCTTTTCCTTTGATTGTATATTTGCTTCGCAACCAAGTCCTTTCTTTAAAAGCTCCAAAGTTGATTTTACCATTGTGCTATCCCTAAAGTATCTATCAAATACTACATCACGTGTTTGTTCCGACAATTCTAATAAATCAGATATCTCTGATATAGTCTTTGTCATTTGGGCCATTTTCTCTTTACCTGTTTGTTATTGATAATAATCACAATATTATAATTAAATTAATTTTGTGTTGGCGATGACTATTGTTTGCAGTACTTTTTTTTGATGGTTGAAATTAACGGATGAATTTGGAAGCTGAAATGAACTTGCTATTGTTTAACTATAATAACTCCTTCATCTCTTCTATCACTGAAGACGAATAATCCCACTTGGATGAGTTACCATTATACCGAGTATTCACCCAACAAGAATGAAAGGAAAGAATATGTATTACAAAGAAAAGGAAGATTAAAAAATCTAATTGCAGTTCAAGAATGGAATTTATGAGAATTTAAGAACAATGTCCTTCATAAATTATATTACTCGATATGATTATATCATAAAATACCAACAAATTAACAAATTGATTCAAGTATTGTTTACAACCTAAATTAAATACCTTAAACAGTCCCATCACCACAAAATATCCCAATATCCATTTATAGAACCATGTTGTTTAAAAGAATCCTAAAAAAAATGTCTATAGTGAAGAGTTGCTCTCGAACGATCACATTCTTCAGCTCGAAACCCTACGTAAAACAATCATTCAATGCTCTGAATGAAAAGGTGAATGAAAAATTCAGAAAAGATTATTCTTTTCTTCAACAATATTATTCTGGATCAAAATTGTTGATCGATTCGAAAGGTAAGATTGCTTCCGAACAAGTTTTGTATTGAGTGATTGGTTTTAGGTACTAGTCCGTATGATTATTTGCCAAATTATGAAAGATTCATGTCGTATTCTGGTCCTTTTCATTTAAAATTTGTTGATGCTAGATTGACTGAATCGACTGTAGAACTTGCTGAACATTCTGATTTTGTATCTGTGTTTGTGAATGATTGTTTGAATAGAAATGTATTACAGACATTGAGTCACAAGTATGGAATTAAATGTGTTGCCCTGAGAAGTGCTGGATTTAACAATGTTGATTTGTCAGCAGCAAGTGAATTTGGAGTGAAAGTTT